TCTTAGCACAAGGTCTCAAGAACGCGCCGCCGTCCTTTCAGAAAGTAATGCAGTCAGTTCTCGAACCGTGCCGAAAGTTTTGTGTAGTTTACTTAGATGATATTGTTATCTTCTCCAGAACATTTGATGAACAAATTCAACAGCTTAGCCAAGTCCTCTCGATTCTAAATAAGAATAATTTTAAGTTAAATCCTCCTAAATGTGAAATAGCTAAATCCATTATCGAATATCTGGGACATTCAATCAGCAGCAATGGAATCAAACCACTGAGTGATAAGATCAAAGCCATCCTTAATCTAAGAGAACCTAAAACATTTTCTCAAGCCAACAAGTTCATCGGAGCACTATCGTGGTATCGTAAGTTTCTCCCGCAATGTGCTACCGTAGCAGCGCCCATTCACGCCACTACCAACCTTACTAAAGCTAATCAACATAAATTTCGTTGGAAAAAGCAACAATCAGAAGCATTTCACCAACTAAAAAAGTTGTTAACCGAACGACCACTATTTCTGATCTTCCCGGACGATACTCGATCTGTAATCCTCTCGACAGACGCGTCCGATGTAGGAGTTGCTGGAGTCTTACAGCAAGACATCAATAACGAAATGAAAAACTTGTACTACCACTCTCAACTTATCACACTAGCCCAGAAGCGTTACTATACTATCGAGAAAGAAGCTCTGGCGATTTGGGTGTCAATCTATCGCATGAGATCGTACCTTCTCGGAAGAAGTATAATTATCTACACAGATCACTGTCCCCTTTATAGTATGTGCAAGAAGAACCAGAAAAATAAAAGGGTTCAAAGAATATCCCAGCTACTACAAGAATTCAATATCGAACAAGTTATTCACATACAAGGTCGTTACAACTGTCTACCAGATTACCTTTCAAGAAACCCAGTAAAGGAAGATGAGGATGATCTCTTCGAATTCGACTACGGGCTCGATGGAAAGTCAGCCGAACCACTTTCGGCACCAGCCGACTTTTCTATCACATTTAAATCGGAAAACCAACAGTATTCTTCTCGTAACAAAACGGCTCGTTCGTCTCACTCGCAATCTCTCATCGCACCAGTAACTACTAGGTCTAAATCTAAACAACAACAGCCCATAACTACTACTACCGATTCATCTGATTTTCCTCAAGAACTCGATACTCCGCATGAACTGAATATCATTTCCGACGCACTTCGATATACAAGTAATCACTTCGACATAACTCTGCTGAAAGGAGAACAAGAAAAGGATCCCATCTTACAAGAAAAGATTAGAGGGTTAAAAGAAAAATCAAATAACTCTTCCTATGAATTGCAAGACGGCATTCTTTACAAACTGCTACCACCTCATCGAGGAGGAATAAATTCAAAACTCGTCTATTTGCCTGCCTCGATGGTACCTTCGGTCCTTCGTGCTTACCATGATGATCCAACTAATGGAGCTCATTTTTCTTTTGGCCGAACGTATAGTAAACTCAGACACACATATTGGTGGTCTGGCATAAAACATAGCATCGAACTCCATATGAAATAATGCCTTCCATGTCAGCAACATAATATACCACGTCAAAAGAAACCCGGGAAATTGAATCCGATCGCTCCACCAGAAGGACCTTTCTAATTCATTGGTATCGACTTTTGTGGCCCATTTAAACGTACCCCGAACGAAAATGCCTACGTTCTCTGTATCACGGATTATTTTACCCGTTAGATAACTGCAGTAGCTCTTCCAAGTTGTTCAGCACCAACTGCCGCTCGAGCTACATACGAAGAATACATTTGTAACTATGGGCTTTCAGTTATTCTCTCTGATCAGGGACCACACTTTCACAATCAACTGATGAACGCATTATCCCATCTCCTCGGAATTCATCATATCTATTCGTCTGCTTTTCATCCAAACTAACGGCATGATAGAACGTTTCAATGCAACCTTCGTTCCCCAACTAGCTAAATTGCAAGATCAAGAGCACAATAACTGGGACGAGTTTTTACCTGCCGTTGTCTTTGCCTACAATACTGGACAACACGCTACCACCAAATACTCACCATTCGAACTACAATTCGGTCGAAAGTTTCGTTTGCCTCCCGAACTCTCTCATGAGCATTTGACTTTCACCAAACCTCAAGACTATTGTCAAACTCTGAAAAAAAATCTTAAAATCTATCATGAGCATGCGCGAAAAAACATTCTGAAACAACAACAGCTCTCTAAACAAAGATACGATAAGAATCGCACTGATCCTCAGTACGAAATCGGAGATACTGTTCTGCTCAAGATACCAGGTCTCCGTCCAAAATTAGAAGCAAGATACAACAAAACACCAAAAATCGTCTGCAAGAAACATCATCCTACGTACTGGGTCAAAGATCAAGACTCCGATGAAGAATATAGGGTTCATGTCAATGGCATGAGATCCATCTTAGGAGTTTAATCTAGTCTTCAAAAACAGTCATCTTTCGCCTCTGTTCACTGCCATCGCTTTGGTTTGTCTGAGTGGTTATTTTGATGCTTTTTGTACTTGGTTTTATTTGCCGGCCGACGTGGAAAGCCCACAGATGTTTTAAGTGCAAAGCGTCGCCGTGAATAATTCTCGATTAAACTCAGGGTGCCACTGGGTTTGGTTTTTGAGTTATAGAAGCAGACCTTGAATCGTTCTTCTGAGCGCAGCACGAAAGATGGAACCTTTTGATTACATTTACTATCAGAGTCAAAGACGAGTGCTCTGCGACTTCATCTTCGCACTGGGTCTCAAGTCTCTTAATCGTGCCGTCAATAATGAATATAAACGTCGCAAATTTCCCCCTTTAGAAATTCCAAAATTGAATTATGACATAGTCTTCGTTCATCGTGAAACACCTATCAGACGTCTCGATGAATTAATCAAACTCGTTCTCTCTACAACCGTCTACTCCGTGGATACCGAATCTGAAATGGATTTCAAACAAAAGACATCACATCCTGCACTTATTCAAATTGAAACTGTCTCTGCTGAATATAAATCAATCATTATCCTAATTGAAGTAGCATACTTACGACCACCACGTTCACCGCTCTTTCAAAAGATCAAGCAGCTGTGCTATTTGATATTTAATTCCGGAAATACATTACAGTCGTGAGATCTAGAAAAAGAACTTCAACCATTTGCCGTCTTCGATCTCTTCGACGTTTGTTCGATCTCGTCTCCCGCCAATATACAAGCTCGTTCCAAAGCTTGGTTCGAAGAAACCCATCCTTCTTTGAGGGACTTGGGTTCTTCTAGTTTCCCGGCTTATGACGAAGCAAACGGCGACGGATTAGTCCTTTCCGCGTGAGCGGACGATCCCGAGTTCCTGCCGATACTGAAAAACCCGCACACTAATCCAAAGGATGAATGGAGTTTACAAGTGGCCATTGAGGTCATTTTTCAGTTGTTTTTGGACAAACAATACACAATATCTAAATGGCAATGTGAACTTGACGAATATCTCTCAACACGCATTCATCCAATGTCAGTCGGTCCTGATCGTACGAACGACATTCACACTCAACTTCGACGTCGTGCTCGTCTTATAAATTATGCCATTCGCGACTGTCAAGCCGTTACACAACTTGTCAAATATATGAATGAACATCCGGCGAGGCGTGCATCTCCACCACAATGTATCGTTGAACTCATCGACCACCTTTCATCCTTTACGACACAAGACTCCGCATTACCACCATCACTTACACAACACTCACTACTCGAAGATTATTCCTGTCATGAAGCAATTTCAGCACGAACACCGGTAGCTTCTCCTCCGGCACCGCTCATCGCTTCTCTAGTCGTACAATCAGAAGGACTGATTGTAAACCCTTCAAATTCACAATCATCGATTGCTCCTCCTCCTAAAAGCAAACATTCGCAACGCTCTGCCGATGGTCGTACCCATCAAAACTATTTGCGATCTATTAGACGACACCACCACCGTTATAATCACTCAATTATTCTACCACTTCACCCTCATTATACTCGACGACAAATTTCTATTCGCCTTCGAGGATTGAAATATACACACTTCCGCATGGACACACGCCGTCGTCAACTCATCATCGGATGCAAAGAACGTGTGCACAAAGCTGTTTTTAATCCAGCAATTGGCATCAATATGTTTAAACATCTCAATGAACAATGATCAGCAACGACAATAACCTCAACACTCCAATGACAGTTCGGTTTTTTTCGATGGATAGACACATCGTCTATTCGGGGGGAGGTGTCAGGATCCACTCTCTCCTAGTTAGCAGCAGACATAGTCGACAGTAGATCCTTCTTTTTCTAGTTAGTTATATTCTGTTCCTGTTCTTTGCCGTTCACTTATATTATTTCTTCTTTTTTCTCATTCATCATGTGCTGACGTATCTTCTTTTTCGTGATATACAGATAAAGTCGTCAGTAATACATTTTACTTTTTTTTGCTTTTAACTAGTAGCACACTTCGCGTGTATACTTTCTGTATTGCTACCATTTTCATTTTTATTTAAGAAAGAATACATACATTGTCGAACATTTATTCACTCGATTGGAGAAAAGGGTGATCATTCTTAGTCCCTCTAGTTTCTGTCAGCATTTCTATCAAGAGAGGATCCTGAGAATCCGATCCATTAGGACAGCCATCAGAGTTTCTGAGTGGCATCTAGAGGCAGAATAATATCCTCCTGGCAACTAGTAGGTGACAAGACCTGTCAGCCAGTTACAGATATTTCGAAGTAATTGCGAATCTGAAGCACGAAAAAGAGTCCGCATCGTTTGTTGATATTCATGCAAAAACTTATTCGGCTGTTCATTCGCTTTACCACTAAAGCGACTAATTGAGTCATTCACAGTAACCTGTAAAGTTGCTGCTTGCTCAGTCACAGTTAATCGAGACAAAGAACTAGAAAATTTCGATTTTCTTTTCTTTCTAGATTCCGATATTATCTCTTTGCCACTAAACTATTATCACTATCATCAGAAGAAGAAATTTGTTTTCTAGTAGGCGCCTTCTCTTTTCGATCTTTCTCTTTCTCTTCTGGCTTTGAAGCTGCACTTTTATCTGAACTTTCTGTATCATCAACACTAAAGGAACTATCAGAAGATGGTGATGATGATGGTGAAGCTTTTTGTTTGCGACTTTTCACAAATTTTGGCTTAAACTTTGATTTTGATTTAACACCTTCTCTGGCACTATCAAAGATTCGATAAATCAAATTTCAATTTGATTCTCAATCTCAATTTACGATAAGAAGTAGATCGAACTCTTCGTTTTCGAGATGGCATTGAAATTTTTCTTCTTAGTTTTGGTTCGGAAAGATGATCTAAATCTTTACCTGAAATTTTAGCCGATGTGGCAAAGCTTCAGTTTGTGTACTAGAATCACTTTTAGCAATGGAAAGTGGGTAAATTTTAGATCGATGACATGAAATACATTCATCTAACAGCTTCGATTTTTCTCCATTATCCTCACCATCTAGTGGTTGCATGCTGAGAAATATCAGAACTTGAACAGTTAAAAAGATTTGGAGGCAAAGAGACAACTGATGTACGTAAGTTAGCAGCAGCAACAACAGTAATAGGTGCATCGGTTGAAATTGGTGTCATTGTTTGAACCGATGTTACCTGTGTTTGAGATGCATTTTGTTGCTGATTAAAAGAGCGAAGCAGTGCATCAGCCTGTATTTTTCATCATAGACATGGCTGCAATCATTAGTTTATTCATAGACTTCAGCGTGTCATTTGAAACAAGAGAAGCGCAAGAAGAAGCTTTCGAAGTAGTGGACCTAATTGATCGGCATCGAGATGGAATAGAGGCTACTGAAGGCGCTGGTGGAAGTTTTGGCTTCACAGAAACTACAGCTTTATCGCATTCTAAAGAGGATGCATCGCGTTCAGTAGAGCTATCCAAACGCGGACCTTCTACTTTCTTAGCCTTATCGATTGGTAATTCTCGAGACATATCGAATTCTGATAAGGATATGCTTTCTCAAAAATTAGATTTACACCACCACCTGCTAAACAGTTTCGGGTAGATCTTACCAGAATACCAGGAAGGTTAAGATATTACCAAAACACTATGAGAAGTTGAATCGTGGTGATGTAATTAATAGATAAAGAGATGACGTCATCTATACTTTACTGCAAAGTAAAACGATGGATAACAATAACTATTTAATCGCTTAAAATCAGCAATTAATCGTAATTAATTGACGATTTTTAAAAGAAAAGCAAAATCATCGGAATCGCGCTAATAATTAGTAATTAATAGTAATAATAATACGGGCGATGTTGTTGGTGGTGCTGATTATACAATCAGTGTTGTATCAGCATCTGCGTAGAATCTCCAGTTTGGAGTAGCACGTTAGCCCTCTATAACTTGCTATAACAAAAATAACCTTCAGTTCGGTTTTACACACCAACAACAAATTATTATTACGATAAAATATTTTACAGAAAAACTAACGTACAATAATGATGAAATATTAAGTCTTTTAATGTTTATTTTATGATAATAATACTAATGTACGATGGTTGTTGATGATGATCGGTGAACTGATTCTCTTCAATTGACGAAAGTTGATAAGGAGAAGGAGTGCAGAACGAAATTAAAGTAATGCAAATAAAAACACTAAATTATATTTTATAATTTTAATAGAATACTAAATATATACTAAATGTGAGATTTAGTTATAAAATTATTCTTCTTCCTTTGTATGATAAACGAATAAGACGGCTGATGATGATGATTCCTCTTCTCTTAGGATGAGAGCAGGAGAAGAAGAAGTAGAAGAAGTTTAGAATTTAAGTTTAGAATTTTTGAAGAAGAAGAAAAAACCTGATATTTTTAATGAAATCTCGACACGAAGATAATGTGTTTCCACATTTCACTATGAAACAAAATAATAATAAAAATCAATTATTAACTGATTTCATTCTCTCTATATAAAGAGCACATAGAAGAAGTTTCTGAAACTTTTCAAACGACAGAAAATAAAATATGTAACGGCAAGCGGCCGTTACAGAGGGGGGCAAATGGGCAATTGTCCATTTCATTTGGAGATTTGGACCACAAACAAAAACCTTACCCATTTTGCTCATCGTTTTTTTCCGACACAATAGAAGTTTGCCCATTGGTCTAAAAATCCTGGTTGCGCCGCTGTTCACCCACTGTAGATGTTTGAATCGCCCAAAAGTGCCAAGATAGAAATGCTAAAAAGTGCCGAGATGTGCTTAGATAGATAGAATGGATATCTCTTCAAACTCGAAGTGAATCAGAAAGAAAACAGACAAATGACAACGTGTTTCTTCCATTCTATTTCTTTTATCTTTCTCATTCTTCGTTCTATAGAATCGACGCATACGCACACATTTGATAAGAATTACCAAGAAGTGAAAGGAAAGGAAAGACATCTTATAGAAAAAGACATTCCTAGTGCTTTCATTTCTTTCCCATCTTTCCCATCTTGTTCCAATTATTCATATATGACTTAGAGAAAAAAGAAACAACGAAAAAAGTTATATGAGGGAGAAGAGAACATAGCGAGGAGAAAAGGAGCATGTTACATGACATAACGGTGTTTGTTTGAATGCAACAAGTTTGTTATGCGTCATATATGAATGATCAAAAGACGGGAAAGAAAACTGAAGGCGCTATTTCAATCTGCTCTACTGAAACACATACTTCTTTGTGATGCGTCGACAATGCGTGACGTGCTTTGTGTATACTGGGAAATTTCCAACTATTCATTCATGCAGATAAGCTGTCTTATTTATTTTTATGAGTGACTCACGACATTAAGTGGGAAAATGCAAAAATAGCATAAATAATAAAAGTTTTGCTGTAAAATGATATTCTGATCGGGGGATTGGGAAGCAAATCCCTGTCGAGATATCTCTCTACACTATATAACATGTTGAGTAATTAATCTAACTAAACCAAAAAATAATCTTGAAACGATAATGCACATCCTATTAACATAGAATAGTTGAGAGAACGACAGCAATGTTGATCTTGGAACAACTTATTCTTAGGCGTATGAACGTTGTTTTACAATCACATGAAATAAAGTAATATGTACAAATAATCTACAATATTTTGTTTAAGTAGCTACAGTATAGCGTTGATATGCTTTTAGAAAACGCTATTCGGATTGATAAAAACAACGCCCAAAAATATTCTACAGTAGACGATTGCGACGTCAACCCAGTCGGGTGCTTGTACTGAACCACGATCTTTCATCCGACTGTAAATGACTATTTTCATCCCGAATAAGCTGAAACATTTCTCTCTTGGAATATTAGCATTTTGCTATAAGACATTGTAGTCAGTAATAGGTAAGCGAAGAATTCTCGTGGCATGTTTTCCAACATTATGCAGGACTATTTAGCACTCATGTGTATTAGTTTAATGTAAACTAAACAGTTTTTCCTTTATTGAGAAACAGGTGGCCCATTTTTGGACCACCGGTCCTCAAAGGGTTAAATTTTGTCCTTATTCGACTGCATTTTTTATTCAGTAACTCTTTATATTGATTAGGGAGCGTGTCAAAATTTCAATTCTAATTTATTTTATTTTGTATAATTTCGGTTCCTTTGATTTTATTGTGGATATATACGTTGACATATATATAGAGTCGCCTGGGGTAATTATGATCAGGATAAAAAATTTTCTCAGTATTCTGGAAGCTGTGCAACTGTTTTTTACCAAAAAAAAGCGATATTTCGTAGGTAGGTGGAGCTGAGTCTTACCTATCGATCGATGTAAAAA